CTTTTACCAGAGCACTTCTAGGAATTTGTTTCGCAAAAGCGGCCAAACAGTTGATTAAAAAAAAATATGCGCGGCCGGTCATATACGCCGCCATATTTACCTAGACTAGCTCTCAACGCGACCTTAAAAGGCTTTAACCTAGGGTAACTGTTCTCCATCTGAACAAGACTACTATCATGTTTGTCAATCATAGTTCTTTGTAACTTGATATCTCATGATAATTTTAAGGGAAAGCAATCCGAGCAATGATGTAAAATAGATTTTGTATCTACAATGTATATCTGATTCTTGTTATCCTGAATAAATATATTTCAATTCTGAATTTTAGCGACAATCATTCGCCATTGCTGCTTCACAAGCAGTAGTAATTCATTTTTTTCCAGGACTCATGATAAATTCGTTTAACGGTTTATTCCCCTCGGTTGATTCTTTTGTTCAGATTATTAGGCGAGAAGATATAGAAGTGAACGGTCTCACGCTTTATGACGACGTTGTATTATTATTCTTATTCGTCTCTACGATGCTCTTTGGATAAAGAAAAGCTTCTAATGTAAGGCTTCCTGGAAGAAGTTCAATTGATATCAAGAAATGTTTTGATTGCATCCAGTAGACCCCACCGGTTCCAAGGTTTTTGTCTGACTTGGTTTTCAATAACAAGATCGAACACATGATTATAAGCTATTGAGTGCAAGCCAATTACACTACGTTCACACATAGGCGAGTTGGAAGTATGAGTAATTGCTGCAATTAGTTCCGCGAGCTCCAACTCGCGGCAACTCGGGGGGGGGGGGTGGCAAATTTTCGAATTTGCAACAAGCACAGCACGAATAACAACAAGCAAACCACGGGAAGTGCCGAGTATTGTTCGAATGATCCTGAGTGCTTAAAGATTAAGATCGAGTTAATACGAGTTGCACGATCTTCATACGAGTAATTCCGACCCTGGTACGACTCAAAAGGAGCGGGGGTTCTTGAGCCATTTTCTGTTTTTTTCAAGATGGGTGACCAAATAGATAGTGCAATCTTCAATGACCTTCTTGAAGAAAGCCCAGTTTCAGGCCCGGTTTCGGGCCTTGCTTCGGACCCTACTTCTACCAGCGACTCCATCACTTCTTCTGATCTCTTGAGATCAGAGACGGCGCTCCGGGGGGGGGGGGGGGGCAGGGACCGGCACAATGCCCCACCCCCACTTTTCCAAGTACCCCTTTCTACATAGGAAAAAGTGCCACTTTTTAATGTTTAAGAAGTGCCCCATTTTACATAGTAGAAGTGTCTCTAATACTTTGACAAGTGCCCCTAGTATTTTGGTAAAATGCCCTTTCCCCTTTTCGACTCTGATAAGAGCTAATTCTTTTTACGCGTGCCCTTTTTCCTTCGAGAAGTTCCTTTTTTCCTTTGCCATAAGTGTCCATTCCCATTATAGTTAGTGATAGTGATAGTGATGGTTATTTTACCTGACAGCTAAGAAATCAATAAATGCTTGAAGTAAGCTACCAGGAGACCGACGGCTTAAGGTCCTTTCCGAGGAACCTGGTAATGAGGATTAATGCCTTACCAAGGGGCACTAGCGCATCGACTTGGTTTCGAACCCGGGTCACCGGATAACGAGACTACTGCTCTACCGACTGAGCTATCGCGCCTCCTCATTCTCATAAGTGCCCTTTTTAATCTCTAGTAAAAACCCCTTTTTAAGGTACGAGAAGTTCCCCTTTTCACTTTCGATAAGTGCCCCCAGCGCCTCTAATGATTGCGCTTTTCAAATCTGAGAGGTGCCCCTTTTTACTTTGACAAGTGCCCCTTTTACTTAGTAAAAAGTGTCCCTTCCTTTTTAATAACTACCCGCTTTTAACTCAGATGGGCGGACCTTTTATGTGCCCGCTTTCCTTTCTAATAAGTGCCTCTTTTCCTTATGATAATTGCCCCTATTCAAATTCGATAGATGCTCGTTTTACTGTAACAAGTGCCCCTTCTCTTTCTGAAATGTGATCTTTTCATTTCTGATGAGTACCCCTTTTCACCTCTAATAACTGCCCCTTTATTCTGACACGTGCCCCGTTTTTCTTCTTCGTATAAGTGCTCTTTTTACTCCTTATAAGTGCCCCTTCCCTTCTCATAATCATTTTTCACTTTACCCTTCTGTTAAGTGTCCCGTTTATTTTAAGCATTATACTTTGCAATTTGGTTTGACGGTCTGAATATGCGTTTGCGAGCTAGCGACGAAAAATGTTAAAGTGTTTGAGGTCGCAGTGCGACAAATCACATCTTATATACAAAGATGTAAAAACCCAATCATGATGGGGTGATAATCACATTTTCATAACGGAATACTGAAAAGACCTTTGACAATTAACATAATTATATCATCTATAAATGCGAGCGAGCGAGCTTGAGGGGAAAATGCTCTTAGTCCCGTGTCGAAGTACAAAGGGTAATTATCAGAGGTGAAAAAGGGGCACTTCTTCCACCTTAAAAGAGGCACTCGCCAGGGATGAAAAAAGCAAAATAAGAATGGGAAATAGGCATTGGTCGACGGAAAAGGGTTATCCATTTTGATATGGGCATTTATAAGAGGGGAAAGGGGGCATTTATAAGAAGAAAAAAAGGGGTTGGGTCCCTCATAAGAAAGGAAAAGGGGCAAGTATCATTGTTAAAATGTAAATCATCAGAGCTTAAAATGGGCACTTGTAAAAATGAAAAAAGGGCACTTATAAAAAAGGAACATATGCACTTGTAAATGAAAAGGGGCACTGGTCAGATTTTAATAGGTGCATTTATTAGAAGTAAAAGAACGCTTTTATGAGAAGGGCGAAGTGGCTTTATTTGGAAAGGAAAAGAGGCACATGTTTAAATAAACGGGACACCTGTCAGAAAGATTAAACTAATATGTTACGATTAAATATTTTGATATTACGATCATAGTAACTATTTGGTCGGGTGACGCTATGCAACTAAGTCGTAAATGTTTATCCATTTGTTTTATTGAGCACAGTCTGTTTTTTTTGTTGAACCAGCGACTCGCTGCATAGTTAGAAAGAGATCAGATACGTGAGCGTTTTTATGGAGAGTGCAGAGGGCGTATATTTCCACAACGTTTTGAAGCCCACCCCACCAAAAAATGAAACAAAATAAAGCAAAGAAAAACAAACAAACAAAAGGTTTGATGGGGAATATTCAGCTCTAATCGGCCTTTTGACCAATTTTAGGGGAACGCAAACGTGAATGAGACGTTCATTCTAAAACCTAAATAGTGTAATTTGGAATATATTTCAGTATTAAATGAGCCATTGGGGGTGTTTTCTCAGCACAACTATGATTAGGCTTTGCATCGCTGTTCCTGAAATCCTCGGAAAATAATAGTAATCATAATACTGCTTTTAATAAAAACTAATACATGTATAGAGCAGTGAATACTTCAATGCACTGTACACTCATCACCCCCCCCCCCCCCCCCTGGTGACTGGATATCAAGCAGACTGTGCAGACACACACGTGTGCACCATCTCCACTACTTAGATTGTATTTGTATCAAGAGATTTATGACATGGATGCTTATAGAGCAATGGCAAAAGTAGTCACATCGGCCTTCGGAAATCCTCACAGGTACCCAATATCTCCTCGATGAAGCTTAGCAATGTAATGATCTTGCCAAAACGACGTTTGTGTCACGGCCGGGACTCGAACCGCAACTATCTGATTGACAGTCCGATTACAAGATTATAAATTGTTTTGATCTGATTTGACGTTTAGTTTTTTCCATATACAACATAATTATGGACATTTAAATGTGTATAACTTTGGATGTATGATAAGGATATATGGTATATATATATATATATATAGAAAAGGGGTCGTCTTAAACATAAGCTTGAAGAGACCTCCCTCTATAGCTTGAAATTAGACATTGTTCTCAAACAGCACGTATATTCCCCCAATGCAGTCGAATGTTCATTGATTGCATAATCCTATGTTCTATAATTACAACGTTCTTTAACTCTCTGACGCATTTCCATAACATAATATTAGAGATTTTATGTCTAAGATGGGTTGAAATATTAGCCGCCCAAATATGTTTACTAGAAGAAATAATAATTGCGTGTCTCATGCACTTAAAACTTGTAATTCATTTTTAAAAAAATCATAGATTAGACGCACCAAATCACATCCCATTCATCAGGATGAAGCACGACTATAAAGGTAAAAACCAATTTCCATTAATTGAATTATGTCTTAGCCCATATGCAGCTGTTTCCATAGTGATTGTAATCCTAGTTTTTAAGAAGAGGTCAAAGTGAGGGCACCATTGGCGGATATCATTTTTTATCTCTGTTTATGCCACACAACTATTTTCCCGGTGCCAAACTGTATATCAATTGGAATAGATCAAACAGCAGTTCAAAATTGTATTAATGTTTCGATTTGCAATAGTAGTGGGTGTTTCACAAAGATTTTAAGTCGATCTTAACTCTTAGTTAGACTTTAAAATTAAGGAGAGCCATTTGTAGCCTTAAAATAAAATATATTCAAAAGCAACATTTTTAGACTTTTCATAAATTCCAAATCAGGAACATGATATCTCCCATGATAATAGAACATTATGAATGATTTAAATCAACATACATTGTATGCCTTTAAAATATCTTTTACAAATTATTTTCAAAGATGCTAACGGCTTTTCATAATTGTTAAGTCCAACTGAAAGATAAGTTCAACTTAGGATCTTTGTGAAACATCCTCTAGGTGTTAAAAGGGTTTCGTGGAGCTCATCAAGACTGGAGATTGACAACTTTACGAAGCCACTAATGTTGCCCAAAATGATTGGTGCTGCTATTAGAAAGCTTATCTTTTTATCCAGTCTTGAAGGTAAGGACAAGAGGGGGCTTGTACTTTGGACTATATGCAAGACGCCCACCTTTTTTGTTTGCTTTATTCTGTACTTATGCGTTTCTCACAGGCGTTTACAATACAGAACGCAAACAGCAAAGAGCACAGTGCATAGGGAATATATGCACTTAATACGAACTGCAGTTTTATCTAATATTTAAAGAGGATTACGAACCCCAAACAGACATCACCTCTGTTTATTAAGCTCGGTAGTTGTAATCAAGATAGTTGTTCAGCTTATAGGGAAGGCACTCAATTTCCCGCGGTAATGGCTGAAAATTGCATAACAACAAGAACACAGCCGGACAGCATTCTCTTCAAGTTTCTGAAAGGGTTCCAATAAATCTGTAACCAGCAAAATAAAATACTTTTGGGGTGGACATTACGGATCTACATGAAAGGGTTAAAAAACCCGAACAACGTCTTGGACTTACTTTGAGAATTGTAGTGCTATTAAATCAACGGTGCAGCCCAAGACTTCTCTTAGGTCTAGCTGCAACTCCGGGACACGATGGCGAAGAACAAAGGCAACGACTATGAAATCCCATTAGAGGTATGTTACATCTGCAAATTAAGTAGAATTCGATTCAATATAGTGATAGTAATAACAAAAGCCATTATGTCATTAAAACGACATTTCTGACACGAATGACCCTTTTCCGTGTATTGCCCTATTTTAATAATACTTAAGATTTATATAGCGCCATTATCCTGTTTAATTAAATGCTCAAGGCGCTTCAAAATATTAGGGAACACATTACATCATGACAAAGAATCGTGTACATTTATATAAGAAAATGCAAAAATGAACGAATGAATGAATGTCTGTCTTCAAACGCAAAATTGAGCAAATGGGAACAAATTTTGACACATGTTTGTCATCATCTGTTAATTTCTCTATTTTAATTTTTTTTTAAAGATAATCTTATTCAGCATTTACAGTAGACTGGTCATAGGGAATCTGAGTAGTTTTCCCCATGCAAGGTCGGCTCGATATTTAGGTAGATCCGTGTCGTAAATCAACCTTGTACAAATTTGACAAATTATATATCGAAATATTATTGAAAACATCTAAACCATCCTGAAAACTACATTACTGCACGTTTAAAACTGATCTTCTCTAGTAATATGTGATACAATTTTTCGACCCCTCTGAATCAATTTTGTGTGTGCTATTGATAAAAACATAAAAGAAAATATGATAATGAATGTCTAGGGGACAACCATTCTATATTTATGGCCAAACCCTTATGCCATTTTGATTGTAAATCTATATCTTTGTCCGACCGGTAAAAAAGCATAATAATGTATGTGTGTAGTTAAGGTGTAAACGACTTTCAGTTCCATCGAGAGGACTTGGAAATTTATTATTAATGCTATATACATCAAAGGAAGGATGGCTTTGAACCCTGGACCTCTCAGTTTCGAGACCATTGCTCTATACCACAGGGGCTGCGCCCCATCGATGAGTCTCTATCAAAAACCGGCCCGATTTTAGTTCTCATTATGATCACGGGTATGCTCCTATCCACACAATTCCTCGTTGAAACCTGCCAAATTAAGGATGTATGTAAAGAGCGTGTATTATTGTATATGTAACAATGTTTTCCAAATGGCCTTTGTAGACAGGGGGTCTTTGTAGACAGGTTCCTTTAGTACATGATTCAATGAGAAAACATTTTCAAGGGAAACAACAGATGTGCTTTTGTAGACAGGCGGTCTTTGTCGACAGGTGGTCACTAAAGCAGGTTTGATCATGATCGTAATGCAGATGATTCTTTTATTTAGAATGCGGATATAATGTGCACACTAGAAGCGGTTTAAAATGATTTAAAGCATAATTATTTGGTTACTTCTGACCATCACGTTTAAATAGGTAACTGAAATACAACATACCTGGATGGTGTTTCACGAAGCCCTTTTTCAATGACAAATGAAAAAAATCAGTGACAAATCTGCTGATTACCAATCAGAAGCAAGGATTTCATTAGCTTATAACAAAAACTGTCATTTGTCACTGATGATTCTTTCAATTAAAATGCGGATACACTGTGCACACTAGAAGCGGTTTAAAAGGATTTAAGGGAATAATTATTTGGTTACGTCTGAGCGTCACGATCAAATAGGTAAATGAAATACAACATACCTGATGCGATGGTGGGATATGGATGTAAGGCTCCTGCAAGGGTGATTGATACCTGCAACAATCGCATTCTAGCTCTCAATGTATTAACTTCCTTTACAAATTCTTTTGTATAAGGTGTCGTAGTCGAGTGGACCAAGCACTTGTCTCTAGATGCGAAGGTCGTAGGTTCGAACCCCGGGAGGCACTAGTGTCCTTGTCAATACCAAATTACCACTCTCCATTCACGTGTTAATGAGTACCTTGCGATTGCTGACAATGTAGCTTAGAGAGGCGTTTAAATTCATCCATTCTTCGGGTTCGTCTTTCATATTTCTTATTACTTCTGATATAAATTTACCTTCTTTTTCACGATACTCTTAAGTCTACCACGTTGTAATTTCTCCAACTTCCTGTAAAGTTGGAGTGAAGATGGGTGGAACAGATGAATACACCGAGGAAAATACAACGAAAATATTTTAACACGAAATGACATGTAAACACAGACAAAAAAATCATCGTAAAGCAATAAGTTCAACCATTGAGATATACTAATATGAATATTAATTTATATGAACCTTTATAACGAGAGGATATAGTACAACCAACGACAATTTTTGAATGCATTTTCTATCTAAGTTATGGTCTAAGTTACCTTAGATCGTGTACCCTATCGTACGAATTTCAAAACCTAACTAAGCAACAACAAAAAAAAACAATTATAAAAAAAATCAATCAAAACCGAAACAAAAGGAAGTACAAAACTCAAATTAAAGAACGATACTACATAATACAAAGTTAAAACATAATTATGTAGCACTCTGTATAAGTTGTTATGTCGGTGTACAAGTGTTTTTTTTTCTTTTGGTAAAAACTGTTTATAAATCAAACCTAATTTTGAGGTTTTGTGCCAGAGAGGGAAGAGTGTGAACGGAGTGTGTCTTCATGTGTGGGTTCGAGACGTGTGGGAGACAGAACTATAGTGGCATGATTGGGTTGTACGACACTTGCCCCTGAGACAATTTTTGCTCCGCAGTAATTTGCCTCTGAAGTCTGAATCCTAACAAGATTATCAACTTCGACCCCAGACCCATAACTATACCTAAACCTAACCCTTAACATAATCTAAAAGCTTGAAGCAGCCCTAACACAAATACTTTAACGTAGTAAAGCCAAGAGCAATTGTTGCCTGCTCAATGTCGGAATATCAGATAATAATTGTTGTAACTGTTGATATTAAATTCAAGGGGGTGGGGTGACGATAAGATGAATCATAATAAATAGGGGACTAAAATTACGTGCGTTCCTCACATTTTTGAGCCTGCCAGAAGGATATCAGTAATAAAGGTGTTATTTGCGGAAGTAGGTGAAAATACTGTTGAAAAATACCTAAGTTTATAACTACTGCTACTGCTATGTCGGAAATAACCTAAATTATGCTACTGAATGGACAATATGGAAGTCCCCTGATACGTGAATGATTATTAATGGAAATACATTAATTAGGTTAAGTCGTCAAGATAGACGAAACAAACACCGAACGAAATGTGGTTGTCAAAAATAAGCAAAACGCGTAGTTTTCATCGTCGACTTGACATTGATTCGTCTCCTTTAAACAATAGGGACTTTTAGATTCTGCACGACGAGAAGGTGTACTGCCCTTTTAAGGCAATGTGACGTCCTTTCAAGGCACTGGCAGTGACGTCCCATTGCCTTAAAAGGGCAGTCCGCGGTACACCTTCTCGTCGTGCAGAATCTAAAAGTCCCTATTGTTTAAAGGAGACGAATCAATGTCAAGTCGACGATGAAAACTACGCGTTTTGCTTATTTTTGACAACCACATTTCGTTCGGTGTAGCCCAAATGTTTACATGGACAATCTTAATCGAGATGCAAATTAATCGTAATAGTTTGGAGGTTTCGTGGTAGAGTGGTTATTTCTCTTGAATCTAAATCCGAGGGTTGATGATTGAGGGCACTAACGTCCTTCAGCAAAACACTAATCCACATATGCTACTATCCACTTAGGTGTAAAAAATTCAACTATTCAAAAAAAAATTCTGATAGAAATAGCGAGTTTATCCCTTTTTTAAGACGTCAAAAATAATTTAACTAAGATTATCGGGAAAAAAGGGAAAAAAATCAAATTTAAAAAAAGCAATATTTAGTATTGGTATTAAGACAAACAATTCTACTAATCGGTCAAGATAGGATAAAATAGGGCCTTTTAGATTCTGCACGACGAGAACGCCATGTAAACATTTGGGCTACACCGAACGAAATGTGGTTGTCAAAAATAAGCAAAACGCGTAGTTTTCATCGTCGACTTGACATTGATTCGTCTCCTTTAAACAATAGGGACTTTTAGATTCTGCACGACGAGAAGGTGTACTGCCCTTTTAAGGCAATGTGACGTCCTTTCAAGGCACTGGCAGTGACGTCCCATTGCCTTAAAAGGGCAGTCCGCGTTCTCGTCGTGCAGAATCTAAAAGGCCCTATTTTATCCTATCTTGACCGATTAGTAGAATTGTTTGTCTTAATACCAATACTAAATATTGCTTTTTTTAAATTTGATTTGATTTGATTTGAATTATTGGTTTCTGCGTCTTTTTTTCTTTCTTTTTCATCATGCATTTTCATGAACATAATAGGCCTATGGTTTGAAACAATATTTCAAGTGTACATCATTTTATACAGATAATATACGAAATTAAACAAATATATTAAATGCCTAATTAACATACATTAGATGCAGGAGGGCTACATATTAAGCAAAGTAGCTTGACGTGCCCCAAGCCCTCAACTTAGATAAACAATAACAACAAACAAACAAAAGCAGGAGAGTGACTTGCAGAGAAGAAAAGAAAAGGGGAGAGAGGGGGCGTTGGTTTTCTGTGGACTATTACTACCATTTGTACCATTTGGTCACCGTGAACATGTATATCACTTATATCTCCGACCCAGTAGATGTATACTTTGCGTCATGTACCATTCCAATTTTTTCAGGTTTTGAACAGTCACCGTTTGACAAATAGACGCAAATGTAAACTTGTTCCATTATTTACATAGTCATACAAGGAATAGAGAGTTATGGCAAATAAAAAGGAGGTGTTTATTTCACGAAATAGTATGACCTTCAACACCGTGCAGAGTCATTGGACTTGTGGATAAATTCCAAGACTGTGAATCAATAAGGTACGAGATTCAAATACCTACCACAGCACTAACATCCACTTAGTTTACATTTGCCTCGCTCGACCCAGGTGAGGTTAATGGGTGACAGTAGAAACTCAACCAATGAAGCTGCAACACCTTCATTAGGGCAGCTAGGCTGTGCTGGGATAATAGCCAAAGCCCTATACGGGAAGCGCATAGTGACGTTAATAAATATTTCATACTCGCTGTACAAGAACTGGGAATTATCATTATTAT